CGGCGGAAAAAACCAGCAAATTTACCCGCATATACGCGTAAAAAAATATTTTGAACAATATAATAAAAAAAATACTAGCCATAGATCCTTCCGGGACTGGAACCACCGGAATATGTTTAGTTGGTAGCGAAATATTATTCTTAAAATGCGAAAATAAGGACTGAAAAGAGCATTTTAACTGAATATTAGGTTTAGTAAAAGAATACTCAATTGATATAGTTGTTTATGAAATAAATAATTATGTTGGTCCAGTTAATCGAGGCAAAGATATAATTAATCTGCTTAAATTGTTTGCGGCAATTGAAACTCTTGCTTATTACTTGCCAAATCTTAAAGTCTTTACTGTTACTGCTAAGCAAACTCAGGGAATGAAAGAACAAATTTTAAACAAGAAAAAGGCAATTAGTGGTGTTAATTACCAAAGAGAAAAAGGATGAGCCTACAAAAATAATAAGATAAGCATTCATGAATTAGACGCATTTTTAACTTACTGAATTTGAAAGGGAAATAACTGAACAAATGATTAAAAACTTAATTGATTGAAGTGGCATATATAATATAATTGCTTCATTCCATATCTATTTAACTGCTCGTGGAAGAGGAAAAACAGATACTAAGGCGTGGCAATTTTTAGAAGAAATAACCAGTAATAAAGAAAGTAATTTTGCTTGAATTAGAAGAAATTGGCATGATAGTTTAGATTGCTCTAGATCCTATTTTCAACAATTAATTTATAAGTTTTGCGAAAGGACTGGAAAAAGATACAGTGATTTTGTAGTCCATGAAAAAGGGGTTTATTATCTTGAGGAAAGAAGAATTTATTTTTGCGATTTGTTTAGTTTTAAAAGGTTTAGAGGACAAATTGCCCGGGTTACTTTCAAAGAGATAATTTTTGAAGAGGCTATTCCCATTGATGGAGAGTTTTTAGTAATTAACCGGAAAACTGACACTAAAACCGAACCTTGAATGTTTAATGATTTAATTAACAGTTTGAAGAAAAGGAAAGATAAGGATGGCAAAGAAATTCCTTTCAAAACTAAAATAACTTTTTTAGGAAACCCTTATATTTGAAGTGCTTGATTTTTAGATGTTTTTTCGAAGAACTTGTTTGAATTAAAGAAATTGGCTGAGGAAAAAGCCAAAAAGGAGGATAATAGTGGAGTATTAGAAAAAGTGAAAGATGAAGAAGGAACCGAATGATTGCTATATATTAACTTAATTGAAGGAGAGGATGATCCGCATTCTCGTTCTTTACAAGAAAAGGTCAACCCTTTTTCAGTTAATTGGGATGATTATATGATTTCTCTCTATACTAAAAATGGAGGAATTAAGAGATACCAAATTGAGTATGCTATCCAAGACTTCTTTTTCTGCGAACTAGGAGAAAGGGAAAAGAACAAGAAATATTTTTTTATGCATTTTAGTAAGAATAAAAAAGAAGTAGACCAAGATGTTGTGAATTATTGTTTTAGTTTAGAGGAAAAGGCTAAGAGTAGATTAAAAAACTGTCTAATAAAAGATAAGAACAAGGAATTTAATATGCTGGTTAATATGCTTAAAGAAGGCGAATTATTTTTTACTGATTTCCGGTCTCGAGATTGATTTTTAGAACAGATTAGATAAATTTATTTAATAATGACTAATTTTAAAGTAAAAGTTAAAGACAAAAAGAAATGACCTATTATTCCTTGTAAACTACCAAAAGGATATAAAATAATAATTTGAGAAGGGAAAATATTAGTTGATGATAGTTATAATGTAAAAGAATTGAGAAATCACTTAAAAGAAGCAGGATTTAAAAAGTTTTAATATTTAATCATCATCTTCCTCTTCCTTCTCAGAATTCTTTATTGAAGACTTAAAATCTTTAAAAACATGCTCTTTTCGCCACCAAAGGCAGTGGTCATGTGTGCAAATTAAGGGATGATCTGCTTTTTCGCCAAATTTAGTTTTTGCGGTTCTTATTCTATCACCTAATTTGGTCTGACTATTTCCATGCTTAATATTGAGATATTTTAAAGCCTTATCAAATGAGCGTTGGCTTCTTTCTCTTTCCTTAGCATATTTTTCTTGTTTTTTGACTATGCCTTTTATGAGTTGGTTAAATTTCATTTTTTATAGTGTTATTACCTATTTTTTTCCATTGAAAAAGTAAATTTATCAAATCTTTTCAATGAC